AAGTCAGACCTGATATAACAGCACTTAACAACAACAAATAAATAAGATTCGAGTCTACTTTTCATCCAGTTGATATTATTTGCTTACTGATAGACATTTGCATGTTTAATCTTTTATTCTTTTTCTTTCTCATCATTATTACTCATTTGAATAAAAATTATGTTTAACCATATGAAGTGTGTGTAATTCTGAAGGCATGAAAGGCAGCTCTTATGTCATCTAGCTGCTTTATCCTGTCTTTGCAAAACTTCCTTAGTCATTTCAATTTGTGTTTTACAACCTTGTTGTTGTTGTGTCGCAAATCATAGAAACCCTGTACAGGGTTTCTGAGGCTATAAATCTTTGTTGTTGTTGTTGTTAAGTGCTGTGGAGTCATTTCCTACCCATAGCAACCCTGTACAGGGTTTCCAAGGCTGTAAATCTTTACGGAAGCAGAACGCCTCATCTTTCTCCCACAGAGCGTCTGGTAGTTTTGAACTGCTGGCCTTAAGGTTCGCAGCCCTATTTGTAACCACTACACTACCAGAGCTCCTTTACAGGAGCAGAAAGACTCATCTTTCTCCAAAAATCAGCTAGTGGATTTGAATTGCTGACCTTTTGGTTGGCAACCCAATGCACAACCCACAATGCCACTAGTGTCCTTTTACCACCTTGTTGTTGTTTTTAAATTCATAATGAGTCTGTATAGGATTTCTATGACTTTACATCTTTATTTCTCCCATAGAGTGGCTGGAAGACCCAAACCATGGACCTTGCAGTTCACAGTCCAGTCCTTACTGTGTAGAGCTACCTTACTCCCTTTTTATCACAGTACTATTGTTGTTTTTAAAGCTGCTTTTCATAGAGAAAGAGTACATGGGTTCTGGTTGCCCAGTTTACAGACAATTCATACTTGTCCTTTAATGTTTGTACATTTGTCCTCCCTCTGAATTCACTAAACCATCCCTTCTTGGTGTTAGTGGTTTAGTGCTGTCAAGTCATTTCTGATTCATAGCAACCTTGTATAGACTTTCTAAGGCTGTAAGTCTTTACGGAAACAGAAAGCCTCATCTTTCTCCTGAAGAATGACTGGTAGACTTGAACTACTGACCTTTCGATTAGCAGCCTAGCACATAATCCATTGCACTACCAGGGTTCCAAGAACCAACCCCTACCCACAACAAATTCTTCATTACAATTACCTTCACCTAAAACTCGGCAGAACTTAACAACAATAACTGCAAGTGTAGCTTTTAAAATCATTAAAAAGACTTCCAGTCTTCTTGCAGTAACTTAACACACCAAACCTATTGTCATTAAATCAATTCCAATTCATAGAGACCTTACAGTACAGAATAAAACTGCCTGTAGGATTTTCTAAACTGCAAATCTTTATGGAAACAACTGCCACATTTTCCTCCTATAGAGTAGTTGGTAGGTTTGAACTGTTTATCTTCAGGTTAATAGCCATGTACTTTATCCACTATACTACCAGTGCTCCTTGTTGTACTAACCAAACCATATCCACCACCACTAAGTTGATTCTGACTCATAACAACTCTACCTAGGACAGAATATAATTGCTCCTAAGAGTTTCCATGACTGTAAGTGTGTACAAAGAAGGCAGCCTCATCTTTCTCCCAAGGAGTGCTTGGTGGGTTTGAACAGCTGACCTTGTGGTCAGCAGTCCAGTGCTTAGCCCACAGTGACACCAGGATATATTTCTTGCTCGAACCCCAAAGCTACTACTATCATGTAAATTCCAACTCATGGCAACCTTGTATAGTTTCCAAAGCTATAAATCTTAATGGGAGCAGAAAGCCTCATCTTTGTTCCAAAGAGTGGCTGGTAGGTTTGAACTGCTGTCCTTGAAGTTACCAGTCCAGTCTTACACTAAAGTAAGGCTAAATTAAAGCTGTATGTACTGTTCCAACTTACCTATAAATTCAACTTAAAAGACAGACTTAGGAACAGATTTCATTAGTACCCAGGGCTTGCCTGTAATTCTATTGATTTAAAATATTTTCCCTGGTATTTTGCCATTGATTTGGCTTCTGTTATTTGAGACTCTGTATAACAATTATGATTCTTCTTCCATATGACAGAAGTTTATTTCCGGATTCCCATTTCAACATATGTATTCCTTCCAAAAAGTAGATCAATATGCATTATTTTGATTGAAACAAAATACATCATAAAGCTATTAACCAGCACACATATTTAGGAAGGCATGAGTTAACCAGTTCCTAAATGAATAAGTGACTATGCAAAAATGGAAAAATAGCTAATTGGAAAAAGCAAAAAGCAATGTTTAGACTTTCAAACATGCACCTTTAAGTGCATTGTGACACAACAATATTAAACCTTTAATAATTGGAAACAATAACAACAATATTAAACCTTTCTTGATTTTTTTTAAAGCTTCTCCTAAAGAAATCAAATTGATTTAGGCAAAGAAAAAGATACTTAAATAGGAAAATGTATGGAATATTAAAATTATTTCTTGCATTCTACCTTGTTGTTGTTGTTAAGTGCCATTAAGTCAGTTCCAACTTATAGCGACCCTGTATAGGGTTTCTAAGGAGTGGCTAGTGAGCTTGAACCACTGACCTTGCATTTCAAATCAACTTTGCAGTCCAGCATATTAACCCACAGTGCCACACCAAGACTTCTCTATTCTTCGGAACACCATTACCAAATGTCATTCCTAGAAACTAAATGGCTAGATGTTGTTGTTGTGTGCAGTTGAGTTGATTCGGACTTCATAGCAACCTAGTATAAGGTTTTCAAGGAGCAGTTTGTGGGTTTGAACCACAAACTTTGTGGTTAGCAATCCAGAGCTTATTCTACAGAGAGATACCAGAACTAAATCTGAATTGTTAGATATGATTTTCCAATTGTTTTCTCTTTAATTTTCTTTCCTCATTCTGGTCTTCACTACATTCCTTATACTTTGCCCTAACCAGTGTATAATGTACTAGTTTATTCCTAACATACTGCTGTGTCTTGGAACGTACAGTCTGGCCCTCACCTTGATATTATGTACTATGGTAGTCTGTATATTTACCTAATCTCTCTGTGTTACAATTTGCTCATTTGTAAAAGAAACAATTTGTAGAGAGCCTCCAATAACTTTTTCACATCTGTATTTTTATTTCAGTGAAATGGCATCTGACTACATGTATAAACAGTTTTAAAAGTTGTATGCAGCGTTAAATCCCGAAATTGGGAGAAACAATGCCATGTTTTCCTTAGAAGCAAATAAATGCTGATGCCCAAGCATCATGTGGATTTCTCATGACCAACAAGTCTTCCCAGTCACGTATTATGTATCTAAGTTTCCTCTTCCACAATCACTTATCCTTAAGGAATGTGTTTATAGCCAAGGTACAAGTTTTAAACACAGGGAAGTAAAACAATTAAGGTTAAATGTCATTTGTGAAACTACATTACTGCAAACAGAAATTACTTTCAGATTATCTATACTGTTCTCTACTCCATCAACATGAATGTTGGGATTCGACATAACTCTATCCTCGATCCAGTATAATGTGCAACAACAAATCCTTTACCTGTAGCAAAATATGTTCTACTAGCACATTGTTTATAAATGTGTTCTCATAGTTGTAACCCATGTTATAGGTCTTTATTAGAATTTTCTAGGTTTTAATTGCCTAATTTTCTAAAATAATTTGCTTTAAGTTCACAAAAACACTCCCTTGTAACATACCAATCATTTTTTTATTCTTATAGAATATCTTAACGCTCTGAAAGAAATCCATGCCCCTATGGCCCTTTAATAACAGGGTTACTAGAATGGAGTTTTCTGACCCCTTGATTAAAAACAAGCTTAACAATTTACTCCAACTCTATGAATAAAACTCTGAAAATATAAAATTCCAAACACCAAACCGATTGCTAGCGAGTTGATTTCAACACATATTGACCCTGTAAGAACTGAATAGAACTGACTGTAGGGTTTCCAAAGTTGTAAACATATGGAAGCAGATGGCTACATTCCTCTCCTGCTCCTGGGTTCAAAATGCCAAACTTTTGGTTGGCAGCCCAGTGCTTTAATCATTGTACCATAAGAGCCATTTATATTATGAGAAATAGTTTGTATTTCTAATTTTTTTCCAGAAAAGAATTAATTTTTTTCATGCAAATCTATTGGACCTCTATATGAACTAATCTGTCCATTGTCTACAGCAATGTTGATGTTGTTAAGTGCCATTCAGTGGGAGTTCTGACTCATAGGAAGCCAGGATAGGGTTTCCTAGGAGTGGCTGGTGGGTTTGAACTGCTGATCTTGAAGTTAGCAGTCCAGTGCTTATCCTATAATGCCACACCAAGACTATCCTGGCCCTGATATGTCACATGTGGACTGATCTATTTTAAGTGAGGACATGGAAACAGGAAAGCCTTGAGGAAAATTTGATAGAGACTTTTCTTCCACAGTCTAACACTGCAGTACAATTATTATTATTATTATTATTATTATTAAAGTATCATCTCACAAGGGAGAAACCAGAGAAAACATCTGGTGAAAAGCATCTAGCATGTCATTAATGATGAACCTTAAATTTGTATTCTAAATTGTTTAAAAGAAAAACATTTATAGTTGATTGTCAGTATCGACTGTCTTGTAGCTTTCTGGAAAAAGTTGCTTTCCACAGTCCTTTTGCCTATTTTAACTCTCCAAGTTCAGCCTTCAGTCTCAATCATTTAATAATGACTGCAGCAGCACTGTCTTGGGATACACAAAAGAATTTTGATTACATTATGTGCTGCCAAATGACTAAAATAAAAGGATTTCTCAAGCATTCTTGGCTTTCCTTAGATTTTACGGCTATCAGGGTGTTAATAGGAAACGTAACAGTCCAACCTATGTTTTGAAGCTTAAATGTAAAGCTCTTCAACAGCTAGCCCAGCTGCCTGCCTGCACTCTGGCCCTGGTTGCTTTTGGATTGTTGCTTGCTCAGGGCATGTTGGGTGTTGATGGATTGATTCTCCTGTTTTACCTCTCAGTTGTTCCTGGTCAGCCACATCGCACTGAATGAACAGCGTTTTCTGAGGTTCAAACAGCTCTTCCAAAGCAGCTTTACACTTTACACCTGCTTCAAGATTCCAATCCACCAGCGCTACCTGTACACAAGAAGAAAGGTATCGAGGTGCTGCGCAGCTCGAGACAGACAGACAAAAGAATAAGTAAATACAGCGTGCCACTCTTGAACCTGAAATTAGGCAATTAAAGGTCGGATTCTCTCACAGCCACTTTGGAGATCTGCTTAAACGACGGAACATCAGCAACTTTTGGAAGTGGCAAGATCGGGACTTTGGGCCAACCCTCTAACCTCCTCAGGAGCTCTTCAGGTAGTGGGACGATACCCGGAGGGAGCAAAGTTTCTGTGGCCTTTCCCCTCCTCTTACCTTGGCGCCCTTGTGCAGCAGCGCTTCTGCAAAAGCTTTGCCTATACCTTGCGCAGCGCCGGTCACTAGCGCCACTTTGCCGTTCACGTGCATGGCGCGGCAGTTGCTCCGGAGGTGGGCGATCTCTGTATCTCTGAGTTGCTGGAGCTTTTATGGTCCCCTGCGCGCGCGCGTGCAGCTGGGCCTGGCGCTCTTCTGCGAGTGGGCGGGGATGAAACTGTCAAGGCAGACTGGAGTCAGGGAACCCACAACTGTGTCACCTGCCCCTGAACGCTCCGGGGCGCCACGCTTCCCAATCTTTGCTTCCCTATCTTCCACACCAGCTAAGTAGAAGCCTTCCTCTAACCTTGGTAAAAATGACCTGCGGCCAGATGACAGGGGGAAAAGCAGAAAGGAAATTATTTCTTAAAAAAAAAAAAGGCTTTCCTTTGGTTCCCTAAAGACCACCCGGATAAAAGGAAGACAAATGAGAAGCTTGGGAACTTGGATTCCTCCTCCTGCTTCCTAGTCCCTCCTCCCAAGAAACACAAGCAAACAAAAGACAAAATTTTAGTGTTGTCAAACTTTTGTCTCAGTCTAAGTTTTTGTGTGACTTTCCATTTCAGAACAAGTGGGAGTGTGTGAGGGAGCTGTTGAGGAGCAGAGGTAACTAATATCCTTGTGCTTTTGACAAACCTGGATAGATACTGGCGATGAGAAGTGAAGTGTGCTCAGATCTGGATACCCTGAACCCTATCATTTCAAGGCTGGGACTTTAAGGATTTTTTTTTATCTTATTTTATTTTTTTGCTACTCATGTTACAGATCAGTATCATTTATGTGTCCTCTTGATAATACCCAGAAGAAGGGTCAGCATACACATACACAGAACTTTCAGAGTCGCTGCTAGCTTTTAATAGACTGCTTATGCCTTGAATTTTCCCAGCTTTGGCGTCTCCGAGGTTAAAATAGAATTTCTAGGAACTTTACTACAAGCACGGTACTAAGATTCACAGTGCTCTTTTCTTATGTTATTACTAGCAGGCTTCACTATTCTTTTATTAAGTAATTATTTTCACATGCATAGCACTTTTATCTAGTAATTCACAGTGGTTCCTCACATTAACCTATAGGGTATTCATTGTATTTTTTTTTTTTTCCATTAAAAAAAAAATGTAGTAAATATATGTAACCAAACGTTTGCTTTTCAATATTCTTCACATGATCACTTCAGTGACATTAATTACATTAATCATTGTTAAGTCATGATGCTTAGCCATTCTCAAATTACAACAACACCATTTAACAGAGCTCTTGGTCCCCTCCTGGTTAGTATTCCTTTTGACTTCCCTTATGCCTGCCCTTGATAACTACTTAGAAACTTTGGTTTCTATATAATTGCCTATTCTAAATATTCGTAGAAGTGGAATCATTCAATATTCGTCATTTTGTGTCTGACTTATTTCACTCAGCATGATGTTTCCAGAGTTCATCCCTATTGTAGCATGCGTCAAGATTTCATATGGATGAGTATGAAAGATCTCTTTATGGATGAATAGCATTCCATTATGTGTATGTACCAAAATTTGTTTAACCATTAACCTGTTGATGGACATTTAGGTTGTTTCTACCATTTGATCATTATGAATAGTGGTGTAATGAATATAGGAGTACAATTATCTGTGTTCCTGTTTTAATTCAAGAGTAGAATTGCTAGATCCTAGTACAATTTATGTTTAACTTTTTGAGGAACTGCAAAACTAAGGCTTCATTTTTATTTCTATAAATTTGATTGCTATAGTGGCTGTAACAACATACTCAAAGGTAGGCATGACTGTGAGAATGGTGCAGGAGTAGTAGGCAGTCTTACAATTTGTTATACACAGGGTCACTATGAGTTGGAACCAACTCCATGGCACCTAACAATATCAACAAATACTTGTCTGGAATTTATTTTCATAAACAATGAAATCTACACAGTTAAAGAGAAGGAAGTTAGGCAAATGACTTAGATTAGCAGCATAATGAATCCCTTGTATATCCTCTTCACTGAATGCTTACAAGAGGAAGCACTGAAAAGGTGAATGTTTCAGCAGGGAAGAAGTGTCTTGGAGCATGTATGTGTAAAATAGACTACTGGGTGGTGCAAACATTTAACATGGTCTATAGCGAACTTAACAATTGGTGGAGTTCACCCAGAGACACTTCAGACAAAAAGCCTCAGTGGTCTACTTCTGAAAAATGAGCCACTGAAACATCCTATGAACCACAAGTCTATTCTGACAGATAAGAGGTTGCTTGCCATGCGTGAGAATTGACTTAATGGCAACTGCTTGGTTTGGTGTGTGAAATGGAAGTTGGCAGTAAGCCACTGAAGCAGGAATGTCTTCAAAGTAAACTTTAAATTGGATCTGCAAAGATTAGTAAGAAATTAAGACTAGAAGATAGATATTTATGTTCTATCATGATAATTGGAGTCCTGGTGTGATGTTGCAGGATAATGCACTGAACCCAAAGTCTGTTTAAACCTCAAGGTTAGCACTTCAAACTCACCAGTAACTCCTCAGAAATCCTATACAAGGTTTCTTTGAGTCAGAATGGACTCGAAGGCACTTAACAACAACAATCATATTAATTAAAATTATAACATGAAGAGTAAGTTAAGTTGAGGGAACATACTGAAAGACAAAAGCAGTGAACAACAACAACAAACACCTTTATCAGTATGCACAGAAAAAAACCATATCAGAACACAGAAGTAGACCTGGCAAAGAGGAATAAAAAACCTCTTGAGCTGCAAGGAATCATGTTGGAAGAGCAAATTGTTGTTGCACATGGAGGAGAAATAGTTTCAGGAATAAAGGAATGATAACTATTACAAAATACTCTGATGGTGTAGTAAAAAGAAAGATAGAGAAATCTCTGTAAACTTGTCAATAGAGTAGTTAGTGTGAGCAAATTTAGAAGACACAGAAGGCAATTGGCTGAAATTATTTTTTTAAAAAAAAGAAAAGGCTAGTGAGAAAATTTTGTGTAGATTCAAATCTAATTCAGCTCTTCTATACATGAAAGAAAATACATTGGATGACAATTGGAAAAATTTAAAACAAATAAGTGTTTATTTTAAGAAAGAAGGGGAAAATTGATGCATATTAAAAGACCAGGAGTCAAAGAGAGTGAGAAAAACAGGAAATTGCATAGGAGGGTGTGAGGTTTTAAGACCAACAGCATCAGACAAAATAGGTTTGTATTTTGTCTCTGCTACTGACCAACTATGTGACCTTGGGCAAGTTGCTTCCTCTCTTTGTGCCTCAGATTCCTTATTTTTAAAATAGCCATTTCTATAAGGATATCATGTTTGGTAAGGTGGACGGTCAAAGGAAAAGAGGAAGACCCCGAGCGAGATGGCTTGGCAAAGTGGCAGCATCAATGGGCTTAAGAGTGACAATTGTGAGGTTGGCCCAGGACCGGGCAGTTTTCATACTGTTGTACATAGGGTCACTATGAGTTGGTACCAACTGGATGGCACGTAGCAACAGCAACAATTTCTATCAGAATCCCCACAACCTGTCTATTAGTTTGTCATGCTGGGGTGCTTTGTATGTTGTTATGAAGCTGGAATAACTGCTAATGGTATTTTGAATACTAGCATGGTCACAAAGGATTTCAGGGGATCGTCTAGACTAAAATGGACTAGAAGAAAGGTCTGGTGACTTACTTCTAAAAATTAGCAATAAAAACTCATGGATCATAGAATACCGCTTGATACTTTATCTAGCTTACTTTGGACTTGTTATAAGGAGGAACACATTACTGAAGAAGGACATCTTGTTTGGCAAAGTAGAAGGCCAGAAATTAAGGGAAATCCTGCATGAGATGAATTTACATAATGCCTACAATAATGGACTGAAACATACCAAAGATCATGAAGATGGTGCAGGACCAGGCAAGATTTGGTTCTATTGTACCTGGGTTTGCCATGAGTTGGAGTCAATTTGACAAAAACAAAAACAAAAGAATGCAAAAAGAATTGAGTTAGGGTAAAAACCATCCAAACAATAAAGCAAATCCATTGCCATGGACTCCATTGCAATGCATAGCAACCCTACAGGACAAAGCAGAACTGTCCTATAGGGTTTCCAAGGAAATCTTTAAGGAAGCAGACTACCATATCTTTCTCCCATGGAGGGGCTAGTAAATTCAATCCACCAAGCTTTCAATTAGCAGCCAATGGCAGAATTGTTATTGCTGTTAGGTTCCACTGAGTTGGTTCTGACTCATACATACACTGGGTACAACAGAATGAAATACTGCTTCATCCTGAGACATTCTCACAGTCATTCCTTTGTTTGGGTCCATTGTTGCAGTCACTGTGTCAACCAATCTCATTTTTAAAGAACTAGTCTCACCATACTCATGTCTAAGGACCATTTTTGCTATTCTTATTCCAAGGCAAATTTGTTCATTCATCTGTCAGTGCATAGTGGATTCAATATTCTTTGTCAACATCATAATTCAAAGGCACCAATTCTTAGGTCTTCATTGTCAAGTTTTTGCACGCATATGAGGCCATTGAAAATATTATAGTTTGGTTCAGGTACAGTTAATCCTCAAAGTGAGGTGTTTTTTTTTTGTTTTGTTTTCTTTAACACTTTAAAGAGGCCTTTTACAACAGATTTGCCAAGTGTGATACCTTTTTGGATTTCTTGACTGCTGCTTCTGTGGACATTAATTGTGGATCCCAATAAAATGAAATATTATTTGACAGTTTTAATCTTTTTTTCGCCATTTACCATGATGTTGCTTATTGGTCCAATTGTAAAACTTTTGTTGTCTTTATGTTGAGGTGTAATCCATACTGAAGGATTTGACCAATTGTACTTATCTTTGATCTTTATCAGTAATGCTTCAGGTCCTTTTTGCTTTTAGCAAGCAAGTTTGTGTCATCTGCATACAGCATGTTGTAAAGAGTCTTTCTCTAGTCCTGATGGTTAGTTCTTCATATAATCCAGATTTATGGATTATTTGTGCAGCATAAGGTTGAATATGCGTGGGAAATGGATACAATCCTGATGTACATCATTCCTGATTTTAAATTCATAATACCCGCTATTTCTTTTTGACAGAATAAGTGGCTGGTGAATGTAAATTGTCCAGTTGTTGTTGTTAAGTACTGTAGAGTCTGTTCCAATTCATTGTGACTCTGGATAGGGTTTTTGAGGAGTCTCTACTGAGTTTGAACTGCTTACCTTGCATTCCAGTGCTTATCCTACAGCCCCACACCAGGATTCCTCCTT